ATGGGTGAGGCATCCCGGGATCGGGTGAGCTTCCTGGGTGAGGCATCCCGGGCTCCGGTGAGCTTTCAGGGTGAGGCATCCCGGGCTCGGGTGAGCTTCCTGGGGAGCATCCGGGCTCGGGTGAGCTTCATGGGTGAGGAATCGGGATCGGGTGAGCTTTCAGGGTGAGGCATCCGGGCTCGGGTGAGCTTCCTGGGTTGAGGCATCCGGGCTCGGGTGAGCTTTCCTGGGTGAGGCATCCGGGCTCGGGTGAGCTTTCTGGGTGAGGCATCCCGGGCTGGTGGAGATTTCCGTGGGTGAGGCATCCGGGCTCGGGTGAGCTTCTGGGTGAGGAATCCCGGGCTCGGGTGAGCTTTCCTGGGTGAGGCGTCACGGGCTAAGGTGAGCTTTCCTGGGTGAGGGTCCGGGCTCAGGTGAGGTTCCAGGCTTGGATGAGGTTTACGGGTCAGGTGAGCTTTCGGGTGAGGCATCCCGGGCTCGGGTGAGGTTTCCTGGGTGAGGCATCCCGGGCTCGGGTGAGCTTTCCTGGGTGAGGCGTCCCGGGCTCGGGTGAGGTTTCCTGGGTGAGGTTTCCCGGGCTCGGGTGAGGTTTCCCAGGCTCGGATGAGGTTTCCCGGGCTCGGGTGAGCTTTCCTGGGTGAGGTTTCCGGGCTCAGGTGAGCTTTCCTGGGTGAGGTTTCCGGGCTCAGGTGAGCTTTCCTGGGTGAGGTTTCCCGGGCTCGGGTGAGCTTTCCTGGGTGAGGTTTCCCGGGCTCGGGTGAGCTTTCCTGGGTGAGGTTTCCCGGGCTCGGGTGAGCTTTCCTGGGTGAGGCGTCCCGGGCTCGGGTGAGCTTTCCTGGGTGAGGTTTCCGGGCTCAGGTGAGCTTTCCTGGGTGAGGCGTCCCGGGCTCAGGTGAGGTTTCCCAGGCTTGGATGAGGTTTCCCGGGCTCGGGTGAGCTTTCCTGGGTGAGGCGTCCCGGGCTCGGGTGAGCTTTCCTGGGTGAGGCGTCCCGGGCTCGGGTGAGGTTTCCTGGGTGAGGCATCCCGGGCTCGGGTGAGGTTTCCTGAGTGAGGCATCCCGGGCTCGGGTGAGCTTTCCTGGGTGAGGCGTCCCGGGCTCGGGTGAGGCGTACACTGGGGCATCACCTTCCCTTCTCTCCTCTCCCGAGAGCACCATCACATCACTTGGGCTGAAATCCTGGCGCAGGCTTTAGCCGAGGAGGGATTTACTGGCTCTGGGTGGTAAAGCCCTGCCCACCTGCGCTGTGGGACAGGGCGTGGAAGGTGGCTGTGTGGCCTGAGGGGTGGCAAGGAAGCTGTGGAGCCGCCTGCCCCTGGCATCTGTGTTGGGGTTGCCTCTCCCGAGGAGGCCCTGCAGCCCAGTACTCCCCACACCCCACAGGACCCCTGTCCCATGGCTCACCATGCAGCATGCTCGAGGGCTATGGCAGAAATGGATCCACAGCTCCCCTGAGCAGCCAGAAGCTACCCCTCCTCCCGCTGCGGAGGACATTCCTTCTTCCCAGCCCCTTCTCCTAACTCACTGAGCAAAACCTGGGGCAACCAGGGCCCAGCACCCAAAATATCCCTGGTCCTTCCAAGTCCAGTTCTACAATGAACTCCACAGCCACACACTGCCTCAGTCCACCCATCTCCATTCGGCTTGTGAGCCACTGTGACCCCAGGCTTCGCCCTGGATGTGCCCATCCTGGAATCCCATGCATCAGGGCAGCACGCGTGAGGCCCAGCTACGACTGCAGCCGGATTTCCCAGGGGAAGACGCACAACCCCCACCTCATCCAGCCAGCCACCTCGACCACCTCTGGGTCACACCATAAATCATGGCTCCTAACAGGATTGTTCTGTCACATAACAGCAATGGGGGACACTGGGGGAGGCGAGAAGGGCCACAGAAGAGAAAACAACCCAAGACCACGCAGACCCGAGTGGCGCCTGAGCTGTATCCACGTGGTTGCAGGAAGAGGAGCCATGGAACCACATTAAACTGGAATAATTCCACCAAGGTAATGTGTCCAAAGAGTCATCTTGACTAAAAGTACTACATAAGTTTTGTTTCTTGCAATGACAGTCTTAGTTTGTTTAAAAATCATGTTTTACTCTTTTGTCTTGTGACCTGACCAAGGCCACCAGTTCCAGCCACAGCCACACTTTTCTCTGCACTACAGTTTTAGCAAGAAAAAATCCGGAGCCAAGAACATACTCACAGTATTTTTTCATTTTTTGTATTTTTCTTACCTTACCTGAATATAAGAAATAGTTCATATCATTTCTAAAATCAAAATGGAAAAAAATTCTCACACCAAAAAAAATTTAATCGAGCTTATTTATAATCTGTTCCACTCTCCCCAAAGGTAGACAAGTTCTATCAACGTGCTTGGTCAAAGGAAGATTTCCTATTCATAAAACACACCACTGGCCGGGCGCGGCGGCTCATGCCCGTGATCCTGGCACTTTGGGAGGCTGAGGTGGGCGGATCCCAAGGTCAGGAGTTAGAGACCAGCCTAACCAACACGGTGAAGCCCCGTCTCTACTAGAAATACAAAAACTAGCTGGGTGTGGTGGCACACGCCCATAATTGCAGCTACTCAGGAGGCTGAGGCAGGAGAATCACTTGAACCCAGGAAGTGGAGGTTGCAGTGAGCCGAGATCAGGCCACTGCACTATAGCGTGAGTGACAGGGCAAGACTCCATCTCAAAAAACAACAGCAAAAGGAATCAGGCCAGGGCGACAGCAGCAGCGGCTGGCGATTCCGCATCGGCGAGTCTGTGCAGTTCTGCGGCTTCCCTCGAATTCAGCAGAATAGGATTTTTCTCCTCATGTCCCTGCCTCTTGTGGCAATGACAATCTCCCATCGATCCTAATTCCTGAGGAGGTGCTGGTTTGGAAAGGTCCCATGTTTGAAGGAATGGCTGCCCTGGCACCCAGACACCGAGGTGGCAGCAGGCTCCGACCTCCACGCGTGTTCCCACACCTCCCCGAGGGTGGCAGCTCCCACCTTGGTGTGGGCACAAGCCTAACAGGCAGTTCTTGATGCCCATCCGCTGCCACCACAGAAATCCTGACATGGAGCCACCAGTGCCTGTGCTGCCTGCCCGGCGTGGACCCTCAGCCATCCCAGTGAGAAGGGGGGCTGGCACGTTGGGAGGCTGAAGGCCCAGGACTGGGCTGGCACACCCGGGCTGCACACTGGATGGCTCCCAGAGCAGGTCCTAGGCGAGCTCCCTACGGGACCCCAGGAATCCGCTGTCGCCGTGGCTCAGAGGCTCCAGCGGGTGGAAAAGAACAGAAAGGTTTACGTGCGGAGTGCGAGGGGCAGCCTTGAGAAGGGCCAGCCCACCCAACACAGCACGGCAGACGCTCACGGGAGAAAAAGCGCCACCTCCATGCTGCCGTTCATCCACCTGGAGATGCCGTGGCCGCCTCTAGGGTGGCTCAGAAGTTGCCTCGTATCTCCAGTCGTCCTCACAGCAAATCTCAGCAGTGAAATGGCTGCTCACAGTGGCCCTGGGTTTATGGAAAGGGTTCCAGGTGTTTGTATTTGGGGACCAGCCTGCTGGGGTGACCTGATGTCCTGGTGAGACGTGGCCCCTGCGGCCTCACCATCACAGGCAGTGTCTTTGGCTGTGACTTCAAACCTGGTCAAACCCTGTGTCCCTGGAGAGTGCTGGGAACCAGGGCAAGCTCCCCCTGGACTCGGCGCCAGCACCAAGGGAAGTGTCCGTGCCCAAGGTTGGTCCCAGGGCTTCCAGGAACTCAGGCACCACCCGCTCGGTCGGATGAGGTGAGCCACACTTCCTAAATCGTTTATTAGTAAAAATAAGACATGTTCACAGAAAAAAGAAGCTGAAGCACAGCTCGGATACAATGGAGAAATGCGGCCTGTGCCCGCCGGCTCCTCCCTGCAGAGGCGCCCACGGGTTTGTGCTCAGAGGCTCCTCCGGGCTCTCCAGTGCATGTTTACACAGCTAACGATGAAGTGACACCTCTGTTTGTTTATTATTATTTCTCGAGATGGAGTCTCGCTCTGTCGCCCAGCCTGGACTGCAGTGGCTTAATCTCTGCTCACGGCAACCTCTGACTCTAGGATTCAAGTGATTCTCCTTCCTCAGCCTCCCGAGTGGCTGCTGTTACAGGTGCCCGGCACCACATCCAGCTAATTTTTATATTTTTAGTTGAAATGGGGTTCACTATGTTGTCCAGGCTGGTCTCGAACTCCTGTCCTCAAGTGATCCACCCACCCAGGGGACCCTGGGGACGAGGCCCATGCTCACCTCCTCCTGTGCCCTCTCCTGGAGCGTGCGACCCCATCTCCCAGGGAACTTGAAACCCGGGCTCAGGAGCCCTTTGTGCCTGGGAGGCGGGGTTCAGTGCGCTCAATGCTCCTGGGAGAAGCAGAGCAAGTTGCCTTGCCTGGGCAGGAGGTGAAATCTAGTTGGAAAACATGGATTAATTTAGATTAATTGCGTTCGACTCAGCCAGGGACTCTTCCCAGGCTCCCGAGTGCCTGCCCTGTCAGTGCACCCAGACCTCCCTAACCCCCCAACTGCCTCCACCGGCCCCTGCAGCCCCTCGGGCCCTCACTCCTCCCCCGCAGTCCCTCCAGCCTCCACTCCTCCCCCACAGCCCCTCCGGCCCCCACTCCTCCCCCACAGCCCCGCCGACCCCCACTCCTCCCCCGCAGCCCCACCGGCCCTCACTCCTCCCCTGCAGCCCCTCCAGGTCTTCCTGTTGGGCTCCTTTGACTCCAAGGCCCGAAGTGTTTCCAGAACGAATCCTCACGGGAAGCCTGTGCCCCCTCTAGGGTGGCTGTGTGGGCAGCCTCGGGGTGTGGGACCCTAAATCGTTTATTAATAAAAATAAGACATGTTCACAGAAAAAAGAACACCCCAGGCAGGGGGTGCCAGACCCAGCTGCGGTGGGAGAGCTGCAGGCAGCCGGCCTCAGGGACTCATGCCCAGACCAGGACCTCGGGCAGTGGCTCCCTGCCCCAGCCTTACAGTGGACACTCTCCAGCTCAGCTCAGGCCATGTGGTGGGGCTGAGTTTGGTCTACAGAACAAGACCCAGCCCTGTCCCACAGATGCCGACTCACCTGAAGCCCCAGGCCCCAGACTTGCTTTCGACTGCCAGGCCAGACAAGCCCTGGTTCCCAAGGGCAGGGCCCCTCCGCTGGGAGCAGAGGCTGGGGAGCACCCCTCCAACCACAGATGGTATTTCTGTTAAGCTGATGCAGACAGAATGTCTGGGGAGGGGCCGCTCAGCCAGGGGGCTTCACATAGCAGCTGCGTCCCCCAGAAGTCACAGGCCACTCCCCATGCAGGGCGCCCCGTCCTGTAAACCCTCTCATGCGTGATGCCATTGTGAAGGCTCTGGAGATGAGGCCTCGCTGGCCTGGACACCGGGGATTCCCCACTTTGGGGTCTTCTGAACGACCTGCACTGGGTCCTGGCGGCAGCCCCTGCTCTCCCACAGCACCCAGGCAGAGGGCAGCCTCACCGGCGCCGCATGGTGACCAGCACAGGCTCTCAGCCTCCTGTGACACCTGTGACCCCGTGTGGCCACGGTTGCTGCCGGGGCCCCTGCGAGCCCTGCTCCAGCCTGAGCTCTGCCTGCCACTGGGCCAGTCGAGACCCAGTCGAGGATAAATGGACAGTGACACCCTGAGAGCTCAGAGCACCTGGAAGGGTGGGGCTCAGACAGTCCTGAGCTGGAGCCACCCCACACTTGGCCCCAGTCACACAGACGTGGCCGCGGAGGCCACTAGACACTCAGGGCCTGGGCTTCTGTGAAGACCTGGCCAGGAAGGGGCCCTGAGAGCCTGTGGAGATGCCCACTGTCAGAAGGCACTGGCCGTGGCACCACAGGACCCCTCACTCGCCTGGGGACCCTCACCCACCAGGAAGCCCCTACGGAGTGCCGTGGCCCAGCCTGGAGGGGCACCAGGAAGCAGCCCCTCCGGAAGCCCTCACTTGGCTGACACTGGTCCAAGCTCATCCTCGGATCACAGCCAAGGCGCCGGAGCAGGCTCCTGACACAAATCTCCGAGAGCTCAGCACTCAATTAGTGCGTGCGCCACGTGGCCAGACACCGAGAGGCCCCGGGAGAGAGCTCATTATGCCGGCTGCACATCTGGTGCCCCGGAGCCCTGGGGAATTAGCTCCGGGAGTGATTTACAGCCATGTCTCCTTGTCCTTTCCTGAAGGAGACAAGATTCTTGGGACCCCAGAGAAGAGTGCCTCTGAGGCAGTTCGTGGCCGACCCACCTAAGGCGTGGCCCCTCCACATCTGCAGCCACAGTGGCCCACCTGCTCCCGGGCAGTCTTCTTCAGTGACTGAAGGCCACTCAGTCACCACCGCCCGCCCCCCCCACCGCCGGGCTCCTGTGTTCACAGGGCACACAGGTGGGATGGTGGCTTCTGGCATGGGCTCTGATGTCCTCAAGGGATGGTATTGCCCGGGGGCCACCCCAGCCAGAAGCTGGGGGGTATTGTGTGCTGGGTGCTGCAGGGGCAAAGACCCCTTTCTGGCTCAGCTTTTTGGGGGACTGGGGGACCCAGGTGGCCAAAGGTCTCCAGCTGAGGGCCAGGTGCCTCCAGAGGAAGAAGAGCTGCACCCAGCTGCTCCACAGAGCCGCCCTCAAGTGCCAGAGGCCCCCTTGGAGAGCCACTCACCTCTGTGGGCTCCACCGAACTCCTCCAGGCATGGGCATCTGGTGTCCTTGTCCCAGGAGCCATGAAGGACCCAGGAGGGGAGGCAGCACTGGTCCCTCAGGGGCTATGAGATGCCTACGTGGAGACGGGGAGGTCCCAGGCAGTGCACCCTGAGAAGTGGCACAGATGTGAGGTCCTCAGCACCCGGCAGGGAGGCAAGAGGGCCCTGGAGGTGTCTGTCCACCAGCAGGACTGCTGACCCGGGGGGTCCTGAGGACCAGCCTGGAAGGAGGCAGAAAATGAGAGACGAACAGGGACGAAACCAGCCTGCAGCCCAGAGGCCGAGGCAAGCAGGTGGGTGTCAAGCCAAAGTTACACGGCCAGAAACTTGAGCAGTGCCGACAGATGGGGCAGCTCAGCTCGAGACCAAGGAGCTTGGGACGTGCCACTTCCTTTCAGAGCCTCACCTGAGAAGTGAGTGAGGATGATGGATTCCATTAGCAGAAGGTGGGGCAATGGCACAGGGCACCTCCCAGCAGCCAGGGGTCCCAGGGACACATCCCCAAACCGTGAACACCAGGGAGGAGAGACGCAGCCTGCCCAGTGTAGACGCTGCACACCCACACGGTTCCTGGGGTCCAGCGTGCGGGTGGAGATGTCCACAGCAGGGCTGAGGCTGAAGACAAGCGTCCCTGGAATCCCTCCGCACCAGAGCTGAGACCCCTCACAGGGCCACTGCAGCCTCCAGTGCTGCCTTGGCCGCTGGTCAGAGCCGGCAGTGCTTCAGCAGAAAAAGACCTCTGCCGAGGGATTTTAAAAGAGTGTCCTCCCAATGAGCACAGGGCCCAGATGGCATCTGGGTGTTGAAGGACCCTGTGGTGAGGGCATGCCTGCTGTCCCTGGGACCTCCAGACCCACTGCCCCTCCTACCCCAAGCTCCACTGCTCAGAGCCTGGCCCACCTGCACCCCCGGGTGCCCAGGTGCCCTCCTGGGAGGACAGGACCTTGTCTCTTGGTGGCACTGTGGGTCCCTCAGAGCCCTCCGTCTGGTTCCTGGCAGGGCAGGGTCACCTCCTAGCACCATCGGCTGCTTCTGGTCTCTCCCACCCAGGGGCACGGTGGGGAATCTCTGAATGCCCCTTCCCTGGGGAGCAGGAATACTTGAAACCTCTTTGGCCTGGCCAGAGCAGTTTCTACTATGCCCACCAGAACCCAAGGCTAAGTCATCGGGGAGACCAGAAGGCCCAGTGTCCAGCCCCTGCCCCACCTTGGGCACTGCTCCCTGCCCACCACCCCCCCCCACCCCAGACAGCCTGGGATGGAGACTCTGTGGGTGGGAGATGCTGCAGGGTCCAGGTGAAGAGCCGTGTGTGGGAGGGCAGGTGGCCCGCAGTGTCTCCATCACAAGAAGAAAGGGATGCCCGGGACAACAGAAGAACTCCGTTCCAGGGGAAGAACGGGGCCTACTTTCTGTGCTTTCGATGGGTGCTGCAGGCTGCTGCATTTACTAAAATAAGTGACTTAGAAAGAACAGGAGCTGGAGGAAAACCAGAGGCTCAGGATTCAGGGAGGGGCACTGCAAGGTGGGAGGGGCCCAGTGAAGCCAGAGCTTCGGCAAAGCCCGGGGCGGGTGGGGCCCACCCCAAAGGGGTGCTTGGAGTTGCAGCAAGCTCTCCCTCCCCTGCCCTCCAGGTCCACCAGCCCTGCTGGCCAGTGAAGCTGCTCCCTGCCAGGGAGGGTGGGCAGCCTTGGCACCCCTGCCCACTCCCCTTCCCCTGCCCTCTTTCTTAGCTCCCCGACCCACTGGTGTTCCGGATTCCACAGCCTGGCCCACAGCTTTCAGGGAGAGTGTTGGGTGCTCGGGCACCCGCTGTGGCCCTGTCCCAGCCTCCAGCAAGCATGCACCCTGTCCTGGCCTCTCAGGATGGGAGAAGCAGTGTCCTCTCCCCAGAGCCTGCTCCTCTACTTTACATTGACCAGTTAGTGTTGGCGAGTGGGCAAGAGGCCACCATAGCCCGGAGGACGGGGCACCTGGACCCCCCCACCCGGAGCTGGGACCCCGGAAGCCACCTGGGCTCTGCATGGACACCCTCCAGCTCATAGCTGGGGCTGTCTGAGCTTGGTCTAAACAGCAAGACCTCAGGCTCCGCTGGGAGGGGCCCTGTGGCTTGGGGAGGTCTGGAACTACCTCCACAGTGCCTGCTCCTCCCAGCGAGAAGTGGGGTGCGCAGTCCTCCCTCTCCCACCCATGCCCAAGCTCTAAAAATCCCTCTGAGGCCTGCAGCTGTCTTCCTTCCCCCGTCGGCATTAACTCAGTCTTGGCGGTCCCCGCATCCAGCCAGGTGCTGAGAAGGAGGCGACATCAGAAGCACCCACCGATGCCTTCAGCCGGGGGCTGGTGCCGAGACGGGCAGCTGTGCTGGGCGGGAGTGTGGGGGCTGCACCAGACCAGGTGGCCAAGAAGGCGTTCCTCAAGCTGAGACCCAGTGGAGGAGGTGAGTCATGTAAAGTGGGGGGAAGAGTGGCCAAGGTGGGTGAGTCTGCGGGCCACGACGGGAGGGCCTGGCAGGCATGGGATGGAATTAGGTGGCCGCAGGTGGCGGTGGGGCCTCAAGGCCTCTGAAATAAAGCACACCAGGCCGGCAGCACTGGAGGTGTGTGTGAGAAGGGGCCAGGCTGTGCCAAAATGAGGATGGAAGTCTCCTCTGCCCACCTAGGGGTGTCACTACCCACCCCTGGGCAAGTTTCCACTCCAGCCCTCCGAGCTCATGGCCTTTCAGACCTGACTGGGTCCCTGGTGGGCCCAGTGGGGCCCCAGGGCTGCCTGGCTGGGATCTGCGCCTGCCTCCCAGCTCTTTGCTGCTGCTCCGGCCAGGCTGCCCCAGAGAGCACCGGAGATGCGGGGGAGGCAGGGCCCCTCCCACTGTGCTGGGGGGTGGGGATGGGGTTTTCTCCAGCCTCCGCTTGGGCTCCAGGGGGCCCTGGTAACTCCACCTCTCCGCTTCCAAGGGTGGCCACCACGGAGGGTTCCCTTGGGTCATCTTGTTTTTTTTTAGTCTGGTCACAAGGCCGCAGGGAGGCCCGGTCTGTGTCTGGAACGCCTGGTGCGATTGCTTGTCAAGCTTGGAGAGGCTGGAAACTCGCTCACTTCAGGGAAAGGGACGAGCAGGGCCTTTGCCGGCGACTACCAGGAGACCCAAGCCCCGGGGGCGCAGTCAGGGCAGCAGCTTAGCAGTTCGCCGAGGGCTGCGCGGGACAAGTCATTTCCGTGTAAATCAGGGCTTTGTGAACTCCCGTGGCCTGGGCGTCTGAAGGCGAATCCCGGCTCCCTCGGTGTGGAGTCCTGTGGCCCGCCGGCCCCCTCCCGCCGCCCCCCAGCCCCCAACGGACACGGGACCGGGACACCTGGGCCTAGGCCGCCTCTCCTTCCCGGCCCGGGACCCCCGCCCGGCCCCCCATCGTCCGCTCCACCCCCGCAGACGCCGCGGGGGTGCGGCGCGTTTGCTGCTCGTGACCTGCCCGCTTCCGGGGTCGGGGTCCGGGCCCGCTGCGTTCACGTTGCTCCTCCGGAACAGCCCGGGCGCAGGAGGAGCCCCGCAAATACATGCTGAATGAATAAAACAAACGTGGAACGGTCTCTGCCAACCCGCGCGCCCGGTTTCCCAGCGCTGAGCGTTGGCGCCGGACGTTTCCTCCCAGGCCAGGAGGTGGCATTCGCGAACTTCTTCGGGCGGCGGAGGCTCTCGGACCTCCCTGGGAGGAGGGGGCGGCGCCTGGGGGACGCCGGAGCAAAGGTGCCGCCGGGGGCTGGAGAGGGGGCGGGGCCCGGAGTTGGAGCCGGGAAGCGTCGAGAGGTGAAGCCGCTGGGCCCGGCCCGCAGCTCCGCGGGGAGAAGGCAGGAGCGCGCAAGGGGCGCAGGCGGGAAGCCAGGTGGGACTCGGCACCTGCGGAGCGCGCCGAGAAGCCTACGGCTTAGAAGAACCTGGAAAAGGGACCGCCCTTATCCGGCTTTGCTGGCGCCCCCAACTCGCCAGGCCCCCACCCCAATCCCGCGCCCCCGCCCGCCCCATTCCGAGCTCCTGGCTCCTGGAGAGCCGCGCACTCCGCAGCCAGTGAGACGCCAGCCCCACCCGCGACCCACGCGCTCTCGCGTTAGCTCAGGGAGGACCTGGCGGCGCAGACAGACCCAGGGTCGCCCGGCCCCGGCGCAGCGCCTCCAGGTCTCCGTTTCCTAAGGCCAAAAACGGTGCTAACGACGCCTCTAGCCCGCCCCGGGTGTGAGGAGCCGCAGAGCCCGTCCGAGCGCGGCTTTCCTCCCGCCGTTCCGTCGCGTGCGCCTCCCCTAGCCTCGGTTCAGGCCACCCGCGCCCCTCCCGGCCCGCCCAGGGTCTGTTCCGCTGCGCTGAGCGGGGGTTCCAGGGCGAGAGCCGGCCCCGCCCCCAGCCCGCAGACCCCGCGTCGCCTCTCAGACCCGAGCTTTGGCCGCCGCGCCGTCGCCTTGGGGTTCTCGTAGGGGCCCGAATCCGACCCTGGAGGGCCCTTCCTCGCATTTCCTTGGAGGAGCGGGTCGGGCCGGGCGCTGGGGGGTCCCCGAGCCAGGCTCCAAAGGGCCGGATCTCCGGCGGGGCAGCCGCGCCCAGTCGAGTCCCAATCGAATCGAGTGCGGACCCGCCGGGGGAAGCGAAACCCCCGTGAGCGCGGGGCTGCACCTCCGTTGAGGGGAATCCTACGCCGCGCCGCCGGGCCCCGAGCGCGCACAGCAGAGGCAGGAGCCGCCGCACAACTGCCCCGGAGTTTGGCCGCAAGTGGCTTAAGCCGCCTCCCGGGAGCGACCGGCAGCGCCGAGCCCCCGCCTCTAACGGCACAAAACGAAAATGGAACCCTAGAGGGGAGCGGCGGGCGCGGGCCTGAGGCCTCGGCCCCGAGCCCTGAGCGTCGCCCTCTTCCGCGGCACCGACACCCTGGCGGCCGCGGCGAAACGAGAAAGTCGTTGCTGACGGACCCCCCAGGCCCGGGAGAGGCCCGGAGGCGGCTGTCCCGGTGCACACATTCGGGGCGTGGCTCCCCACGGGCGGCGGGTCACAGTCAGCCGTCCCGTGTTCCTAAGTGAATGAGACGCGTCCCCGGAGGTGCAAGAGGTGGCCGCCCCAGAGGTGGCTCGGCGGCCGCCTGCGCCGGGGCGGGAGTGGAGTTTCCGCTCGTCCCCGGGATGAGTGAGCGGCTCCTGGTTCCGGGGAGGGCACAGGCCCTGCGTGCGCCTCTAAAGCCGCTGCGCTCCCAGCCCGCACCCACGTGAGGCCCTGGACATATCTCCGCGCTGAGGCTGCCCTGGTCACTGTTCTCCCCGCCAGGGATTCGAGAGAGACCGCCCGTGGGCGACGTCGTGGGCCCGGGTTACATCCTCGGTAACCCCCAGCGGGGAGACCCCGAAATCCCGGCAGGAGGTGGATGACGGGCAGCGCTGGGAGTCAGGGCCGCGTGTGTGGCCCCGGGACTCCCGCTCCCGCCGGCGTCGCACCGCTGCCAACGCCATCCGTTCGATGGGGAAACCAGAAGATCCGCGCGGGCCTCGCCCGGCTGTGAGGTCCGCGGACTCCGTGCTCTGTGACCCAGACCCGCCAGGAGCGCGTTCCCTGCCAGCGTCCGCGGCCGCCCACACGGACCCAGCCCCGGACGGCGGAAAGTCACTAGTGGCGCGCGGGCAGTCGCTCTTCCCGAGTGGGGCGCTCCGAGCGCATGGGCGGAGTCTCAAATCTGCATTCTTTCCGTTCATAAAATATGTTCTCGTATTTTTCCCTGATTTCGCATTAAAACCTTTGCCTAACTAAACTCCCATCCAAGCTGGATTTATCTGGTCCCCGGGGAGATAAATCAGGGGCAAATTTACAGCCTGGGAGGCACCTGCGGCGCTAATGGGCCCTTCATGGAGTGCGCGGCCTGCGGGGGCGCGCGGGCGGGCGGGGCGCTGGCCAATGGCCGGATCGCGGGGGCCGCAGCCAATCAGCGCGCGCGCCGCGCCCCGGGGGAGGGGGGGGCCCGTTATCAGCGCGTCCGTCCCGCGCGGCGCCGCTCCGACCGGCCCCGGAGCCGCCGCCGCCCGCCCGCCCCCCGCATCTGAGCCGCCCGCCTGCGCCCCGCGCCGCGCGCTGCAGCCGACGCCCGCCGGGCCGCGCGCAAACTTCCCGGGCCGGCGGGCAGGGGGCGGCGGCGGCGGCGGGGCCCGGATGGGAGCCCGGGCCGGCGGCGGCGGCGCCCATGGACACTAACCGCCCGGGCGCGTTCGTGCTGAGCAGTGCCCCGCTGGCCGCGCTGCACAACATGGCCGAGATGAAGACGTCGCTGTTCCCCTACGCGCTGCAGGGCCCGGCCGGCTTCAAGGCGCCCGCGCTGGGCAGTCTGGGCGCGCAGCTCCCGCTTGGGACCCCGCACGGCATCAGCGACATCCTGGGCCGGCCGGTGAGCGCGGCGGGCGGGGGCCTCCTGGGAGGCCTGCCCCGACTCAACGGGCTCGCCTCGTCCGCCGGCGTCTACTTCGGGCCCGCGGCCGCCGTGGCGCGCGGCTACCCCAAGCCCCTGGCAGAGCTGCCGGGGCGCCCGCCCATCTTCTGGCCCGGCGTGGTGCAGGGCGCACCCTGGAGAGACCCGCGTCTGGCCGGCTCAGGTGAGTGGCGGGCGCGGGGATTCGGGCGCGGGGGTGCAGGGGGCGAGAGGGCGGGTGCGCGCGGAGCCGCCGGCCGCTGACCCCCTCCCGTCCGGTCCCCTGCCCTCCCCTCCCTCCGCTGCAGCCCCGGCCGGCGGGGTCCTGGACAAGGACGGGAAGAAGAAGCACTCGCGCCCGACCTTCTCGGGCCAGCAGATCTTCGCGCTGGAGAAAACCTTCGAGCAGACCAAGTACCTGGCGGGCCCGGAGCGCGCGCGTCTCGCCTACTCGCTGGGCATGACCGAGAGCCAGGTGAAGGTGAGCGCGGCCGGGCCGGGAAAACGGAGCCCGCGTCCTGCGAACGTCCCCAGCCCCGGGCGCCGCTGCCCCGCGGCCGCCTGACCGCCCCGCCCGCCCCGTCCGCCCCCAGGTGTGGTTCCAGAACCGCCGGACCAAGTGGCGCAAGCGGCACGCGGCGGAGATGGCGTCGGCCAAGAAGAAGCAGGACTCGGACGCAGAGAAGCTGAAGGTGGGCGGCTCGGACGCGGAGGACGACGACGAATACAACCGGCCCCTGGACCCCAACTCGGACGACGAGAAAATCTCGCGGCTGCTCAAGAAGCACAAACCCTCGAACTTGGCGCTGGTCAGCCCGTGCGGCGGCGGCGGCGCGGGGGACGCCTTGTGAGGACGCGCGGGGCGGGGGCGAGTTTATTTTTGCAGAAGCCGGCAGCGTCCCCGGGGGGGCGCGGGGCGCGGGCCGTGTGTCGGGGCCGAGTCGCTTTGTATCATCAATAAATTATTTAACTGGTCCCGGTCGGAGCCGCGGCTCCGGAGCCTGCACCGCGTGTTTCTTCGTCTTGGACCTGGAGCTCCGCTGCCCCGGCTTCGCCCCTGCGGGACCCGGGCTTCCTTCGGGCGCGCGGCGGCCTCGGGTTCTCCGTGCGGAGGCTGCGGGCCCCTGGCCGGGGCGAGGAGCCGTGAAGGCGCGCGGGGCAGGGAAGGGCTCGGCCCGCGGGGAGGAACCAGCGACAGCCGCCGGGAGCCAGCGCCACGGAGCCGGGGACGGAGCGCGCGCCCCGCAGCAGGTACGGCCCGGGTGGATTCACACGTGCTGGCGGGGTCCGGAGGTCCGCGAGGGGCGGGTAAGCCGCAGTCCGCCCCGGGTCCCCGCAGGACGGTTTTCTTTCTTTGCTTTTCCCGCTTCGGGGCCACGTCCTGGTTGCTGCTGGACACCCGCTCGGCGGAGGCGCTTTGCTCTTAGGATTTTAAAAGTCCCCCTGCCCCGTGGCTGGGATCGCACCTGCCGCCCCGCTGCGATTCCACTCAGCTGGGGGAATCGAGTCTCAACTGCAGCGCCGAGGCCATCCCGCCACCTCCTGCTGGAGTTTTTAGCGGTGAAAGCAGTTTGTTTCAAACTAGGACTGAAAAGAGAAACCTGAACTAATTCTGCCCGCGGAGCGGCGGCGCCTCCAGGGGTCACGCGGTGCCAGGGCGCTGGAGACGCCCTGGGCAAGGCCCGCAGCGCCCGGCCGGGGGCTTGGGGGCTCCGTTTCGTATCCTGAAACGGTGACAGCTCGGCACGGCCGTGACACCGGCCGACAAAACCCGTCCGCCCTCCTGCAGCCTCTGTGGTCGAGGCTGGTCATCGCTGTATCTTAATGGGCGTGACTACTGATTTTTAATTTTTTAAAATTAAAAGCAAATGATGAAATATTTGCAGTGATACGATTTCTCTCGGAAGGCATTTTTGGAAGCGTTAAAGAGAAACGTAAAACGCTTCAACTTGGTGCGTTTTGTTGCCGGCTCTCGGCAGATTTCAGCTTTTTCTGCAAGGACGAAACTTGAAGGGCAGAAGCCACGCTTTTCTCAGCTCAGCTCGGAGCAGAGGGGCTTCCAGTGGGAGTTCTGAGGAGAGCAAAGCATTTATATAATCCCTTTTTTAAATGCTGGGGGATAAATCCTTTATCACAGTAGAACGTCCAAAAGGTTGTTTTTCTGAAGTGACGCTTGGTGTTTTGTGGCAGTAAGTGATAGAGTGAAATTCCAGGGTTTCTAACGAGCTCGATCTGAAATAAGAGGGTCTGCAGGCTGTCGTGACTTAGCATCTCAAAGGCGGCGGGAGAAGGGAAAGGAAGAGAAACAGCAACGCGGCACTGTTTTCACCATGGTCAATTTTATTGCTTAGGAAGCAGACCCTCAGAATGACCAACAGCCGAAAGCCGTGGGGCGGACTCCGTGCTGGAACTGTGGCCGCGGAGCCTGCGACCACAGCAGGGACACGGACAGACCCGGTCCTTCCGCCAGGAACACGTTCGGCAGCGGACCCCAAATCACTTGCAACGGTAGCGATTAGACAAAAACATCCACCTAAATGCCTTCGCCGGCCAGGAACTCTGTAGTGTTCTAAAGTAAAATCAATAAAACATACGTGTGTGTGTCTCATCAGCAGACTCTCCTCACCTTTTAATGCTGTACTTAGTGCTAGGAGAAAAATGTTTGCAACAAGGTTATTACATGGGTTGTCTGGAGCGGAGCATGGAGGAAATGTACAGTTCTGTTTCTCTTTAATATTTTTATATACAGCCCATGTTAAAAGCAATTTCTATTGGAAGCAAACTAGGCTATTTCTATTTCTCCCATATTACTGTTGTAATGTAGAATACTTGGCACCATGAAACAGTAACAAAAGACAGACAGACGGTTTACAAAATTCTTCAAAGTACACCCAGGCTAGCTATCAACTTCACATTCAGTTGTTAATGTTACACAGAAGAACGGATGGGCTAACGGGCTGCGCGCAGGCGTGCCGTGGGGCCGGTTCACCCACGGTGGCGAGCCCCCGTGTTCTTTACGAGTTTCTGTGCGGATGGACACACAGCTGAGCCCCCAGACGCCGGTGCTGCCTGCTGATGGGACTCTCTCGTGCATTCAGACTGGAAAGTACATGTATACGTTTGGTATACGTTTGGCATACGTTTCGGTAAGATTTATAAATTATTTTTAAAAAGTATATATTTATATATATTTATATATATAAAAATGGAAAGCAGCTGCAGTGTGATTCAAAAACCATGTGACACGGCCCAGAGTCAGTGCCTCAGGAGGGGCATCGGCACAGACAGACTCCCAGGTGTGCGCGGGGCCACGCTGCCGGCTGGCAGAGGGAGTGCCCGTCTCGGCTTCCCCAGCCCCTGGACGCACCTCCACCTGGCAGAGGGAGTCTCTGGACACGGGGGTCTCCATGCTGGAGAAGCCCCTCCACTGACAATCATTAAAAACTGAAAACTGTGAAGTGTACGGTACAGACCCTCTTTGCTGTCTATTAGAGTTTTGACAACCGGACTGTGACTTATTTAAAAAAAAAAACAATGTTTCTACTTAATGTCACATGAACAGACACGACAGTGAGGTATGTGAGGCTGCTCCGGAACGTTCCGGAGTCTGAAGCGAAGTGTGGGCTGGTCGTCTGTCTAGCAGGTGGCGCTCGGGCGGGTTCTTGATGCAGCTTTCAAGAGTGCGTATTCGGTTACGGCCACAGGGAGGGCTCACCAAGGGTCCTCTCGTGGCGCTGGCATCTCTTCCCTGTCACGGAATTGGTAATTTGTTACGGGAACAAACGCACCAGGAAAAGCTGTGGAAAAGCTGAACTGGGGGAGGAGTCATATTTACCACCATGTCACTGTACGACACAACACTTGTGCACACGGGCGTGAGGTTTACCTGCCCCGGGCATGATTCGGAAGGCCAGGAACACGGGCTGCAGCGGGAAGAGAGGAGGGGGTCAGCACGGCACACACAGGACAGCCCAGTACACACCACCGCCTCCCGTGACACCCCTGACCCTGCACCTCACAAGGGCAGCCGGGAACCGGGCCACGAGGAGCCGCTGGCCTGCAGAGGCAGCTCAGTCCTTGTGCACAGCCACGGCAGAGCAGGAGTAGGGGTGGGGGGGCCCTGTAAATGTGGAACTGGAGCTGGGCCGGCCATGAGAGGTTTTACAAGCAAGGTGTTATTTCCGGGTTAAAAAATCAGTGCAGAAGCTGATCTAAAAGAATGGCTAAATAGGCCCCAAACGAAGTGGGGAAGGAAGACACTCCCGTCCCCGGCTCTGCTGCACCGGGCAGGTCCGGCATCTCACCAGGGTGTCTTTGGGGCTCACAGCTCCAGGCCTCCAACATGGAAGGAGCTAACCCATTTAATTGGGCTGAAAATGAGATCTGATCTGTCTCCCGTCAGAACTCTCCTGTGAGGACTCTCGAGGAGCAGTCACCTGGTTGAACGATCTGCGCCAGTGCTGCCCCACGGCATGCGGTGGGGAGCACCCTCACCCCTGCGCCTCGGCTGACGGTGAGGCTGCCCCGAGAAAGCCATTAAAACTGCAGCTGCGTGTTTGCAAAGCAGAAACAGTCAGCTGTCAACAACACTTCTTTACAAATAGTAAAATCACGTGTTTTACTGTGACTAGTCATTTCTGCCTTCTTCCTGCTTGCCCACCTAGCTTTTGGTATTTTATTAAAATCAAATAAAAGCAGACCAACTTGGCCTAGTCTGTACAGTCAGACCAAGAAGACCACAGAGCAGGAGAGGAGAGATTGGCCAGCCCCCACCCACCCGCCTGCCCTCGGGCCCCAGGCCATCCCCGGCCCCTGGACCTGTGTACGTCACCTTGTGGTCTCCCATGCAGACGTTGGGCCCAATGTGGTCATAGGTGACAACCTTCTCCTCGCTCTCTGACTGGAAAGGGGAAACAGAGACAGGTGGGTGTGGGGAAATGGGGCGCCCTGGGTCCATTGGGCAGCTGACTGGCAGGAACCTCAGGATTTTGTGGGTGCAGAGAGATGTGGGGGTCAGCCCCTGCATATACCTCCTCAGTCTCTGCCACCCACCCTGCCTGGCTCCAAGAGAGGCCAGCCCATGGACCAAAGGCCGTGGTAGCCTGGCAGTATCTCTGCACCTTGGCTCTGGCCCTTTCCTCCAGGAGGTATCTGCCTGTAGGAGGGGTGGCGTGGGGAGCCCTGGGTGCTGGCCCTGCTCCCCAGCTCCCTCTCCCAGATGTGCTCCTGGGGAGTTGCAGGGGACCCTGTCCAAAGCAGTGGGTGCACCCTCAGCTCTCTGTGCAGAGAAGTAGCCCATCAATTTCCCATTGTTCCACTTATATTTGCTCTAGACTGTTCTATTAACCCAGAACTCAGTGTTCAAATGAGAACAGACACCGAATTCCACACCACTACACACAGCAATCTGTGCACAGTAATTAACGGCTGTGTGTGCACTTCCCGGAGAGCGCCTGTGTCCTGGGCGCCTTGGGAAGGGGCTTGCTGCCGGTCACCACTTGCTAGGACTGGGCTGGAATTTTATATCCGCAGCTGGAGCATCTGAGACTATGGAGTTAAAACTGAATTATCTTTAATGCAGTGGGAAACTGAAGGTCAGATATAGTTTCCAGCATGGTCGCCCGCCAGGAAGGATGGAAACAGCCTCCGCGCCGCACGCATGAGCACCTCCCAGTCTCTCCGGGCAGAGCGGCGGCTCCGCGGAAGTGGGGAAACATTCATCAAACGCAGCGTGGTAATTTACAAAGGCAGCATAAAATTGTGGATTTTCAACTACATAATCTTTGGACAGATAAACAAATTACGGCAGGCGCAGGCAGTATGCCGCACACCTCACTGAACACTCGTCACGGAGGCTCCTAGGCAGCACCGCCCGCCCCCGAGCCACGTTTGGTGTTTCAGGGATCTGGAGGCAGAACGGAACTTGGTGACGAGGTGACAGCGCGTGTCATGATGGATGAGGCTGTGGAGCACGCCCAGCACCCGTCTGCTTGGCCTGCATGCCTGCTGCCCACTGGGTGGCCCCTCAGGGAGAGCCTGTCCAAACTCCGGCCCCAGGCAGCGTGGGCTGTGGCTGTCAGAGGCCGCCAGCTGTGCCCTTGAGGCTCCATCCCATCTAGCATAAAGCGTCAAGTCTTGAGTCCAGAGAACCGGAGAGGCTGTGAGCGAATGGAATACAGGCCGCAACGCTGCCCTGCTCTGAGCTGGCAGGTGGGAGTGCCCACCATGTGCCACCAAGGGACTGGTGTGCCCACCGGTGAGCACAGCCAGAGGGTCAGGGGCGTGTCCACAGCCAGGCTCCAGGCCAGGCCCACTCCTAGGCTTTCAGGCTGGCGTACCCACCCCCTACAGTGTGGGAGCAGATGTGACAGGGTGGCCAGCATGCTTTCCTCAGTGATGGGCACAGGCCCTGCCCACAGGCCAGAGGTGCGGCTGTGGAGGAGCTGAGCTGGCTGCAGACACCACGAGCTTCTGGCCAAGGGGGTCCCTGCCTCTAGCCCAGGCTCCCGCCTGGCAGGCTCCTCCTTACAGCACAGCCAGGGACTAAGTGCAGGCTGTACCCAGGGTGCTCCAAAATGTGGGAAGGAACGGAAAGGAGCCCTGTCTGGGGGATGGAGCCATGTGGTGGGGCCAGCAGGGCACGTCTCAGGGAGTGGGCTGCAGGGGGGTCCCTGACCTGCCGAGGTTGCACCTGTACCCAGGGGCTTGCTGTGCCCGGGGTCTGGTCCCATCTGGCACAGGGACACAGACGGGCAGTGCAGGACAATGGGATCCTCACACGGCTGGTGTTGAAGCAGGGGGCTCCTGTCCCTGCTCTGGGCCTGGGATGGTGAAGATGGGGGCAGAGCCCACCAGGCTGGCAGCGGTGCCACCAGAGTCTCCAGCCTCCTTCCGATTGGCCACCCGAGTCACGAGCAGAGGCCCCAGCTCTGGGTTTGGGCATGGCTGTGGGTCCCACACACTCCGCAGGGTCCGTTATTATCTGCATTTCACTTTCATTGATGGGTTGACAAAACCAATTCAGATATTGATTCTTCTGAACACACTTCTTGTCTATTAAAACGTGGGACTGAAAGATCACAGATTGGCCGGGCATGGTAGCTCCTGCCTGCAGTTCTAGCCCTTCAGGAGGCTGATGTGGGCGAACTGCTTGAGCCCAGGAGTTTGAGACCAGCTTGGCCAACATAGCAAGCAAGACCCCATCTCCTTTTTGTAAAAAAAAAAAAAAAAAAAAAAAAAAAATTTATTAAAAAAGAAAATCACAGGAAATCTGAAAATTTCCCAAGACCCAGGTCACCTCCTGAAAGTGTCACCCATTCGTTTTTCACTTATCAAGCCTCCAGATGAATCTGGCTCTGATTTACAACTTAGGGAAGCAGCTTCAGACATTTCCACCATGTTTACGGCCTGAGCTCCCGTGTGCACAGAGCACGTTGACTTCCAAGGATACGACAAACTACGATTTGAAAACAGCTCCTGCTGACCTCGGGTATGTGTCAAACTCAGGACGCCGGCTGCTCGTGGCCCAGGAACTCAGCTCTGCCTGCTGCTGCCCTAGCCCCAGTGCTGGCTTGGAGGTGACTCAGTGCTGGGGTGCAGCTCACTGCCAGA